TATATCTTTAGTGGCATCAGAGATTTGGTTGAAAATAAACAGTTGTGACAATATTCATTTTAATTTGTAGAAGGTGCTATAGGTTGAATGTGTACCCCAAAGTTCATGTGTTGGAAAATTTTATCCCCAGTGGGACACTCATAAGAGGTGGGACCTGGAAAAGATGAATATGTCATAAGGCCTCTGTCTTTATGAATGGATTAATGTCATCATTTTGGAAGTGGGTTATTTATTGCAGAAATGGGTTCCTCTTCTTTCTCTCCCCACCCCCAGTACTGGGGATTGAACCCAGAGCTTTGCATAGCTAGGCAAATGTTTTGCCACTGAGGCCTCTACCTTCATGAGAGGATTATCATGAGAATGGGTTTGTTATAGAAGTGGGTTTCTTATTATAAAAGGGAAAGCTTACCCCTCTTGCTCTCTCTTATCCTCAATTTTTCCTTCCACCATGGGATGACAGAATACAAAGGCTCTCATTAGATGACAGCCCCTCAAATCTTGGCCTTTTCAACCTCCAGTACCATTAGCCAATAAATTCCTATTCATTGCAAATTACAGTCCGAAGTATTCTCTTATAGCAGCACAAAGCAGACTAGGCCAGAGGCAATAAATTTCATGTTGAATTTCTATGTTTTCATATGTATAAATTGCTGAGGCTGGTCTTGAACTTTCGAGGAGGTCTCCTTGCTGGAATTACAAGTGTGAGCAAAGTTGATGAAATTCAGATAAATGAAAATAGTTAGGAAAATAATGTAAAAAATCATTGGAGGGTTGGGGTTGTAACTTATTTGGTAGAGTGTTCGCCTAGCATGTGTAAGGCACTGGGTTCAATCCTCAGCAACACATTAAAAATAAATAAATAAAGGGATTATATCTGTTGCCTACAACTGAAAAAAAATGGAGCTGGGTCATGTCTTTTGTCCAACATTGTTAAATTGTTCAAGTTAGAAATAAAAAAAATCTAGGGTCTGGGGATATAGCTCAGTTGGTAGAGTGCTTGCTTCACATGCACAAGGCCCTGGGTTCAATCCCCAGCATCTCTCTCTTGCATGCACACACACACACACACACACACACACAAAAAAAAAAAACCTAAAAAATCTAAATACATAATTAAATCACAAGAGGTCAGAGCCCTATGTATTTCTGGCAAGATTATTTTATATTTTATAATTATTTTAATAGATATTGCATTCAATTTACTGATACTTTACTAATGTTTGCATGTATCTTAAGTAAAATAGGTCCAGACTTTTCTTTTGAGATGGTATTCTCATCTTTTTTTGTTGTTGATAAATACTTATTTTTATTGTAATTGGATACAATACCTTTATTTTATGTGATGTTGAGGATCGAACCCAGGGCCTCACATGTGCTAGGTGAGTGAGTGCTCTACCAATGAGCTACAACCCCAGCCCTCTCATCTATTTTTATTATTAGGATATTTGCATTATAGAATAATCTAGAATTTTATTAGAGATTATTAGTTCTTTAAAATATTTTATTACCTGAAAAACTATTAATTCTTTCTTTTTAAAAAATAAGATCATAACCACATTTCATTTTTTCCTTTGTCTATAGATCTGTTCAGGGTATCTGTAATATCTTGAGCCAATTTTGATAATTTAGGTTTCTTAGGATAACTCATTCTCTGTTTGTTTATACATATGCAACTATATGTATGTATTAACATATAACTTAAATTTTTTAAATCTCCTTGATATATTTAGCTATTTCACCTTTCTCATACATAAAGCTGTAACTGATTCATCTTCCCCCCCTCAATAACTGCCAATTCTGTATTAATGATCTCTGCAAAGAGAACACCCTTGGTTAGAGTCTACTACTTTATTAACTGTTCCATTTATTTCTTTTATCATATAAATTACTTCCTACTACTTATTGTATCCATTAGCTTTTCATCACTGTGACGACATACCTGAGGAAATCAACTTAAAGGAGGAAAGACTTAGTGTGGTTCATGGTTTCAGCTGGGTAGCTCCATTGTTTCTGAGCCTGTAGCGAAGGGAACATTAGTGAAGCAAAGCTGCTTACCTCATGGCAGCAGTGAAGAAGAGAGAGAGAGGCCAGGACAATATTTACCCTTCAAGGACATGCCACCAGTCACCTCCTTCCTCCAATTGAGCCCCACCTCCTAAAGTTTCTGCCATCTCCCAATACTGCCACCAGCTAGGGATCAAGTCTTCAACACATGAGCCTTTGGGGAACATTCCAGATATGCACGGTAACAAACACCTTAGTGTTTTTTTTCTTCTTATTTTAATCTTCTAGCTTAAGTTAATGCTAATTTTTTTCCATTACATATCAACTGCCTGTTACGTGACAGTCATTATAGGTATTGGGAAAAGCATGGTGAACAAGACAAACACTGGTTCCTCAATCCAGGTTTTCTAAATGCATTGTTTGGGGTTTTCTGTTAGTAGAGCTTTGGTGATTTCCCACAAATTTTCATTTGTAGGCAACACATTATTATTCATCTCTAAATATTTTAACACTTCAGATTTGATTCTCTACCTTAAAATTTTTATTATGGAAATTTTCATATATACGTAAAGATAGTAAAAATAGCACAATGAACCCTGTGTGTCTATTATCAAGATACAACACAGCAACATTTTGCCAATCTTGTTTCATCTATTCCTCCCACATATTTTCAGTTACTTATAGGGATACTTTCTAAGGAATGCATCTTTAGGTGATTTCATTGTTATGCAAACATCACAGAGTCTACTTTGACACCTAAGATGGGTAATGACATTACATTAATATCATGACATTAATGACATTACATTAATGACATTAAGATAATAGGTGATAATATCTTATGGGATCAATGTTGAACATATGGTCAACTTTTTTTTTGGGTAGATGGACAGAACGCCTTTATTTTATTTGTTTGTTTTCATGTGGTGCTAAGGATCGAACCAAGTGCCTCACACATGCGAGGCAAGTGCTCTGCCACTGAGCTACGGCCCCAGCCCTGTGGCCCTGTTGACTGAAAAATCATTATGTGATGCATGACTACATTTTAAAGCAAATCATAGGGCATGATATAATTTTACCCTTCAATACTTCAGTATAGATCTCTAGCACATACTTATACACACACCCATAATGCCAACATAATGCCTAACATAATGAACAATTGCTTAGTATCATTTAATACATAATCCATGGTTATATTTACACAATATATAAAAACATTGTCACTAATTTGTCCAAATCAAGGTTGGACTGACTACATTTTCTGTACCCTTAATGCTCTGGCAGTTCAGGCCTTGATCCTGAAGACTCCTCCCAAGACTAGCTAATGCATAGATAGCAATAGTTCTCCTGTGAGTAGATCTTTGATATACAAACCAAACAATCCAGAGCCCATATTCCCAACCATGCTTTATCAAACTCACACACCGCATCAAAACTCCCCAGCCCTAAATTACCCTAGGGCCAGGTACTAGGAATCACCTCACAACTAGGAATCACCTCTGTAGCACAGAATCTGCCAAAATTATTCAAACTATCCACCCTAAAAGTACTCAAGTGTCTAGCCTGCCTTACCCATTCCTTCCCCCCAAATAAAACAATAAACAACAAATCACTAATAAAGGCCTTGGGGTATGCATTATCCTCTCTATTTCTGCTTTTACCCAAGTCTTTGGGTGCTTCCCCATATGGCCCTACATGCAAGCCATGCCTCCTGATAGATAGTAGAATACCTATTTTTAGGGATCTGAGAATAAACTTTCTTCAAGACAATCATTTTTATGTCTATCACCATGCGTAATTAAAACAAATCCCAAGTACATCAAAATGTTAAAACACAAGGATACCAATATGTTCCATACACTGTACTTGATATGTCTATTATTCTTGACATAGGATTATGGTTCTTTTTGTTCTTGATATGTATTTTGGTTAAGAAATTAAACCATTAATTCGGGAAACTTTTCAAATTGTGGATTTCGTTATTTGCTTCTTTGTGTCACTAATCTGTTCCTTAGTTCTCCATGTTTCCTGTAAAGGGGTAATTAGATTCAGAGACTAAGTTGTAATTCTGAAGCAAATTTTTAGCGGGGAAGGGGGGGGAATATTTCACAGGAGATACTTTGTATATTGATTGTATCACATATAGAAGGGCATAGCCTGGCTGATCTAATTTAGAAATGTTAATGTAGATTAGTGGGTGCTGCCATTCAGCACCACCAATCATAAGCTTTCTATCAATCCTTCACCCATGGTCTTGTATCCATGGATATCTCCACCAAGACCCATTATTTTATAAATAAGCATAATTTTCAAATTCTATCACTCCTTTTGATCTTTACCAGCTAGAATTTTCTATTAATAATCTATCCTTCACAACTTTTGGTTGTTTTGAAATGCAGTTCATAAAGGTAAGGAAAGATTTAAATGTTCCAGTCTTTCCCTTTATTTATCAATAATGCACTAGTGTGCTCCATAGTTGATCAATGCATTTGGTTAGGAAAAAAAGCAATCAAAGGCTACAGTGGTCTAAAAAAAAAAAAAAAAAAAAAGGACACAGAAGCCAATATGAAGGGAGTCGAACTAGCCTATGTAGAATAATCCAGCATTTTTTTTTTAAGTTACAAAGGAGTGACTAAACAAACAATGTAGGCAGGCGTGGTGGCACACAACTGTAAATCAGTACTTGGGAGACTGGGGATCACTTGAGTTCAGCGGTTTGGACACCAGCCTGGGGAACATGGCAAAAAACTCATCTCCAAGGGGGCAAAAAATGCAGGAGTTATAATACAGGTAAGTTTAAATTTAGAAATAGCTTCCTTTTATGTAATCTTTTGTTAGCCTTTAATTAAATATTAACTAGGACTTGAGAATGTAGATTGTAGAATACCTGTTTTATTATAAACTGGAAAATAATTTCTCACTTTCAGTATTTTAACAAGAATAAGGGATAAATGTTGGTAGAAGGCATATTTATATTCATTACTTCTATAGTCTTTTTTTTTTTTTTTTTTTTTTTTGTACCAGGGATTGAACCTAGGAGTGCTTAACCACTGAGCATAGTCTTTCAAGAGAATTCTCAAAAGATTAATATTAAGAATAAAATAAATAAAACAAAATATAGTGGCTTAAAACAACAACCAATTTTTAAATTCTTTTATGATTGTGTGCATCAGGAGTTGGGCAGGGACTTAACTGGTTGAGTCTTCTATTCCACATGGTGTCAGCTGAGGTTACTCAGTGGTGATCAGCTGGTCTAGAGGATCAAAAACTCTTTCAATCAAATATCTGGTGTCTTAAAGGGCATGTCTGGAAGACTGGATTCATCAGGTATCTCTCCCTGTATATATAATCTCAGGGCTTCTCCATTTGCTAGACTTTGTTACATGACAGTTCAGAGCTTGAGAAAGTGTTTTAAGAGATGAAGTAACCTTACCAGTAAAGCATGGGCCCAGAAACTGGCACAGAAGTACTTCTACTATGTTCTACTGGACAAAGCAGTCACAGATTCTGCCCATATTCAAGGGAGGAAATATGGACTCCATCTGTTAATGGGAACAACGTCAAGAATTTGCAGCCATTTTTGCTACAGTTTTATACCATCATTTTACAAAGAAGAAATTACCGCACGGAGCAGTTGTGTCTTCTTCAATATAACCAAAAGAAAAAAGTGATGGGATAGAGATAAGTATCTTTCCCACATTGTTATATTAATAGGATCAGTTACAACAAATGTGCTGAAATGATGGTAGAACATATCAACATAGCCTTTTAATGGTATAAAACCCCTTACGCCAAGTCAGCTACATGTAGGAAGCAAAAGAGATTATTACATTCATAGAATGTTCTACAACATAGGACTGATAAGATTTTCTTACATTTTTACATTATGAATTTTCAGATGATGGGTAAGGTGTGAATGTTGTCTAAAGGCCTTCTTACATTCTTTACATTCATAGGGTTTCTCACCAGAATGAATTCTCAAATGTTGGATAAGAGATGAATTGAGTCTAAAGGCCTTCCTACATTCCTTACACTCAAAGGGTTTTTCACCAGTGTGAATGCTTTGATGTAGAGTAAGTTTTTGGCGCAATCTAAAGGCTTTCCCACATTCCTTACATTTATAGGGTTTCTCACCAATATGAATACTCTGATGTTGTGTAAGTTGTGAAAGTAGTCTAAAGGCTTTTCCACATTCCTTACAATCATAGGGTTTAACACCAATATGAATACTCTGATGTGAAATAAGTTGTGAGTAACGACTAAAGGCCTTCCAGCATTCCTTACATTCGTAAGGTTTTTCACCAGTATGAATTCTGTGATGGAGAATAAGATGATAACCACGACTAAAGGTTTTTCCACATTCCTTACACTCATAGGGTTTCTCACCAGTATGAATTCTCTGATGGAGTGTTAGTTGCTGTCTTACTCTAAAAGCCTTCCCACATTCCTTACATTCATAGGGTTTCTCACCAGTATGAAGTTTGTGATGTACTCTAAGTCCAGAGCCACACAAAAAGTCCTTCCCACATTCTTTACATTCATACAGTCTGTCAGCAATATTAAGCTTTTGATGTCGAGTAAGGTGTGCATACTGTCTAAAGGCCTTCCCACATTCTTTACATACATAGGGTTTCTCACCAGTATGAATCCTCTGATGGAGAGTAAGTTGTCCTCGAACTCTGAAGGCTTTCCCACATTCTTTACATTCATAGGGCTTCTCACCAATATGAATTTTCTGATGTACTCGAAGATCTGGGCCACACATGAAAGCTTCCCCACAATCCTTGCATTCATAGAGTTTTTCTCCAGAATGAAGTCTCTGATGTCGAGTAAGGTGTGCAGTTTGTCTGAAGGTCATCCCACATTCCTTACATTCATAGGGTTTTTCACCAGTATGAATTCTGTGATGAAAAGTAAGTTGCTGGCGTACTTTAAAAGCCTTCCCACATTCCTTACATTCATAGGGTTTCTCCACTAATTGAATTCTCTGACGTGGAGTCACAGATGTGCGCTTTTGATAAGAGGATACTTTTTCAGATGTGAGTTTCACTTGACTGAAGTATCCCTCTTGAGGTCCCTCTTGTCCTTCAAATTTTCTTTTGGATTCCCAATCATTTTTTAAAATGAGGCCCTTAAAGCCATGGTTTTTAATTCTTTCCATTAGCTTCCACTGGGATAAATTTATTTCATAAATGTCATTTTCTGAAGATAACTTCTTGGTCTCACACCTGGTCTCCAAATCTAAAAGAAAAAATAAAAGAAGTAAAATTTTGGGGCTGGGACTGTGGCTCAGTGGTAGAGTGCTCACCTAGCAAGGGTGAGGCACTAGGTTCGATCCTCAGCACTATATAAAAATACATAAAAATAAAGGCATTGTGTCTAACTACAACTTAAAAAAAAGTATTAAAAAAAAAGAAGTAAAGTTTCGACAGTGGAAACAAGACAATTAATGAAAGTAATACTCAAACTCTAAATAATATGGGGAAAAAAAAGCAAAAAAAGGCAAAAAGGAACACCAGGAAAATGAGAGTTCATATAAGACAGACTAATGGTTAAGCATTTAAGCCAGTGATTTTCAAGCTGAGGTGTGAATCAGAATTCCTGGGGAGCTTATTACAAATACTAAGGCTTAAATATCGCCCAAACCATGTGCATCAGATTTTATATTCCCAGAGGAATATTTACTATTCTCCACACAATGATTCTGAAAGAGATGAAACATTAGGAATCCATACTTAATTTTTTCTTTTCAAAAATGTCTCTTTATTCTTAAAATTAAAATCAAGCTCATTTGGTTAACAAGGCCATTTACCTACATATATCTTAAACCTCTGTTCCCTTTATTGCTACCTGGAAAGGCCTCCTTTTGGATATTACGACATCTCCCAACTTCCTTTCATCTCTCAGGAATTTGCACAGTCTGCTCCATCTCCCACAAATTTCCTGATGGAGCTCTTTGCATGGCTGGCTCCTTCTCATCCTAAGCTCTTAGATTAAAAGTCACTTCCTTTGAGATCTACCCTACTTAGTACCTAAGTCTATGCTGTCATTCTTTATTTCTTGCCTTTATAACATATCCTACTTTTTAACACATATACTCACTAATTTTTGCCTTCTACATGATGGGCAATTGCTTTACCAGTGGCCTTTAGCCCCAGTCCTATTTTGCTTATTTTTACCCATAAATCTCCTCAAGAGCAGAGACAATCCTAATTTACTCTCTATTAAGTAATGAATCCATAACATATAATTTTACTCATTTAATTCCCATAGTTATATAGTTATTCTGAATAGATCTGTCTGCCCCTAGTCTCTTATACTTTCCTGTAATGATTAAATTCTCTCTTCATTCATTCAAGCTTGCTCAGCTAAATAAATAAATGGAAGAAGGTGGCTGCATATGTCCATATCTATGCAGTATTCTCTGTACTACCCATTTATTTATTCCTTCACATGGCTATGTGTTATTTTTTGTCTCTACATTATGGCAAAGTTACTGAAGAATTTTATTTACTCAATTTCCCCTTAAGTTTATTACTCATTCATTTCACAAATATTCAACTGGTTTCCTTCTTTCCTCCTCTTACTCAGGTCTCTTCCTTTCTCTCATAGGCAAGACTATTTCAATATTTTCTGGAAACATATTAGTGATTTTTAAAAAATATTTATTTTTTACTTGTAGTTGGGCACAATACCTTTATTTTATTTATTTTTCCTCTGGTGCTGAGGATCAAACCCAGGGCTTCGCATGTGCTAGGCAAGTGCTTATTGCTGAGCCACAGTCTCGGCCCCATATTAGTGATTTTTTGAGACAGGAAATCATATTTATACCTTATTGCAGTTCTTATGAAATTCTTAGGCAAGAAATAAAAAATGTAACTTACCCATATGCACAACTATATTATGACCAATTTACCTATAAACATAACTATATTGCCTTCTTCCCCTCTACCCCAGCCTAAGGACATTGTTACCACAATCATGCCTCTCTCCATTGCATTAATTTCCTCTATAGAATCATTCGCATGAGCACACAAATATGCTCTAATATATCATCAAATACACTGCTTATAATCCATATCCTCAATGTTAACTATCAACATATTTCTTAGCACCACAACTTTAGCCTTTAACTAAGTACATTTACAAAATTTTTTTTTAGTTGTGGACGGACACAATACCTTTATTTATTATTTTATGTGGTGCTAAGACTCGAACCCAGTGCCTCACATGTGCCAGGCAAGCATTCTATCACTGAGCCACAACTCCACCTCCATAACTAAGTACATTTTAAGTATAAGTACAATGTATTTCCCAGTAAGTATCAGATAAATAAACTCTCTAGACAAAATTCTAGTTTTAGAGACAATTACACAAAGAAGGTGCTTCAGGTCCATTTTAAAAACAATTGAGATTCTTTGAGAAAATTGCATTAGTCTTTCTTTTTATCACCGATTCCTGTTGGTCTTTTGTTGGTAATCCATTTCTGTCAGTATCCTTACAGTCAACTTTGCCTTTCTTTTTTAATCATTGGATTCTTGTACAGCTTTTCTAGGCCATATGCAACTAACAAAAGGGGAAATCATAGGATATATGTATAGCTCCAGAGAAGAATAGGAATGACAATACAAGGAATGCACACCACTGTCCCTGGCTCAAGCTCCTAAACCAAGAGGATGAAGTGGCCAAGGCAAAGTCCACATTTGGGAGGGAGGGAGGAGGACAAGCTGTCGCCCAGCCAATAAGCACCTCCAAACAGGATGACAAAGGATTCTGTGTCAGCTTGAGGACACAGGGCAGATGCCCAGAACCAGAGCCTGGCAGCTGGGGCCACAAACTCAAAGAGTCATCTTACATACATTCTCCTAACTGCCTCCCCTATATCTCTCTCATCAACTCACCCCAATCAGGTTTTCATCCTGAAATAAATATTTACAAGGTCATCAGTATTCTCCATCTTACTAGAACCTGAGATCATTTCTCAGTTCTCACTCTACTCCCTCCAACTTGAAACATTTATTACTGTTTTTATTTATTTTCTCTCAGTGAGTGGATATTCCTTCTCTATCTCCTCTGTTGTCTCTGCCTTCAAAGGTCTAAGTTCTCCCATGAATCAGTTCTTAGGATTCTTTTTATATCCTTTCTTCTATCTGCATGCCTTCCTAAGTGATCACATCCAGATCCATGGATTTAATTCTAATCATAAAAGTAAAGATGCTCAAACATATATCCAGCTGTAATCTTTCCTGGCTCCAGATGGACATTTTCAATGGCCTCTTCAACATCTCAAACTGAAAAAGTTAAAATATACAAAATCAGAAACTATCAATGTCAACCTTTCAAGCTGCTTTTCCTTATCTTCCCCTCTTAGATAAATTGTGCTTCTGTTCAACCAGCTTTTTTTAAGCAAATACCTTATCCTCCCTCTCCACTTTTTGATACTGGGGATTGAGTCAGGGGTACTTAACCACTGAACCACATCCCCAGTCCCCTTTTTTTAAATATTTATTTTTAAATTATAGATGGACACAATATCTTTATTTTATGTGGTGCTGAGGATGGAACCCAATGCCTCATGTATGCTAAGTGAGCACTCTACCACTGAGCCACAACCCCAGCCCCCCCAGTCCCCTTTTTTATATTTTATTTTGAGACAGGGTCTTGCTCAGTTGCTTAGGGCCTCACTAAATTGATGAAGCTGGCTTTGAACTCATGATCTCCCTGCTTCAGCATCCCGAGTCGCTGGGATTACAGGTTGTGTGCCATCCTGTCCGGCCCTTTCTCTCCACTCTTTACCACTTACTCCACTTGTAATCTCAGTAACATATTCTTTATGGTTTTTTCAGGGTTCTTTTTTTTGGGGGGGTGGTATGGGAGATTGAACCCAGGGGCGCCTAACCAATGAGGCACATCCCCAGCCCTTTTTTGTATTTTATTTAGAGACATGGTCTCACTGAGTTGCTAAGCGTCTCACCATTGCTGAAGCTGGCTTTGAACTTGAGATCCTCCTGCCTCAGTCTCCAAAGCTGCTTGGACTACAGGCGTGGCCACCACACCTGGCTTTTTCATGGTTCTAAAGATTGAATCTAAAATACTCCATCACTGAACTATATTCCCAGCTCTTTTTATTTTTTATTTTGACAGAGTCTTGCTAAATTACCCCAGTTAGCCTCAATCTTGCAATCTTCCTGTCTCAGATTCCCATGTAGCTGGGATTCAGACATGCACCCACATGCCCAACTCAATAGCATATTCAGTGCGTATATATATATATATATATATATATATATATATATATATGCTATAGATGGACACAATACCTTTATTTTATTTATTTTTATGTGGTGCTGAGGATCAAACTTGGTGCCTCATGTGTGCTAGGGAAGTGCTTTACCACTGAACTACAACTGCAGCCCTGGCAGTACCTTCTACATGCTATGACTCCAACAGTTTTCTTTTTCTTGGTGGGGTGAGTACACCAAAGATTGAACTTAGGGCACTCAACTGAGCTACATCCCCAGCCCTATTTTGTATTTTTTATTTAGAGATAATGTCTCACTGAGTTGCTTAGCACCTCGCTTTTGCTGAGGCTGGCTTTGAACTCAGGATCCTACTGCCTCAGCCTCCCAAGCTGCTGGGATTATAGGCATGCACCACCACACCTGGTTTCTAACAGCTTCTTAGTACTTCTTATCATTGTCAGTCTTATCCAAACAATCATTATGTCTAGTCTGAACAACTGAAACTGGCTCTATACTGATCCCTCAGGCTTTTGCACTCAATCAGAGGGATCATTTTATAATACAAACAATGGCTTCTGATTTTTCTGATTACATTATCTGATCTTTTCCTAACACAGACTTCATATCTCTTGTTCCTTCTCCTTCTCTGACCATAATGGCCTTCATGTCATTCCTCAAACACAAAAGGCTGACTTCTTACCCAGACCATTTCCATCTGCTCAGAATAATCTTCTCTCAGAAAATTTTATGGTTTAAACCCTTACTTTATGTCTTTCCTCAAATATCAGCTCCTCAAAAAAATCTTCTCTCGGGGCTGGGATTGTGGCTCAGCAGTAGAGCACTCGCCTAGCACGGGCAAGGGCCGGATTTGATCCCCAGCACCACATAAAAATAAAGGTATTGTGTTGTGTCCATCTACACCTAAAAATTAAATATTAAAAAAAAACTTCTCTCGTTTGTCCAATTTTCCATATGCATGCAATACTTCAATAAAACTTACTTAAAAGTAGAATAGAAAAGGAAAGGGGAAGGAAAGAAAAAAGAATGTACTCATTTAAGATGTCTAACTGTGAGACAATTATTATTTGGGCTAAATGCTTTCTGACTAAACTGATAACTTATTCATTTGGAATCTCTGCATTTCATTTTCTTTGAATGTTAATACTTGTAAATGTCATTTTACTACCTGAATTTGAATAAGAAAATAGGTTAGGATGGGGGGGCAGGGTACCTTTTTTTTTGGTAGAAAGGAAATAATGTAGGCATTAAAATTATCTTATTATTACAAAACTAGAGCTATTAGCCTAAAATGATTCTTCTCATTCAGACCTGAATATACAAAGGACAAAATACATAATATGTATCTCTACACAAAATTTTAAGGAATCTTTTTTAACAAAAGGTATAATGAGAGATGAAAATAGGTCAGAAGTAGAAGCTAAACCAAGGGATTATTGTCCCTATAGTCTACTACATTTAAGTTTCTTCTTAACTTGAAGGTAGATAAATTAAAGAAAATAGGAATGATATTCTGTAATTTGGGGTCTATCTTCTAGTGTAATTCACATGAAACTTTAGTTGCTGATAAAACATAATATTATAACAGCAAGCATATATATTTTCACAAATTAATGAGAAAAGTTGAAAAAAAGTTTTCTTCATCATAACTAAAATAGCCTTTCATGGGGCTGGGGCTGAAGCACAGTAAAGCGCTTGCCTAACATGTGTGAGGCACCAGGTTCGATCCTCAGTACCACATAAAAATTAACAAATAAAATAAAGGCATTCTGTCCATCTACAACTAGAAAAAAAAATTAAACAAAATAGCCTTTCATCCCATATCATTCTCTATCCTCTTACTCTGCTTACTTTTCTTCATAGCACTCTCTTTATAGCTGACATTTCTTTTTTTCCTCTCTTTTTTTTTTTATTAGTTGTTCAAAACATTACAAAGCTCTTGACATATCATATTTCATACATTTGATTCAAGTGGGTTATGCTGACATTATATTTCTATTTAATTACAGTAACTAGGTTTCTCTTATTACCAGGTAAACTCCACAGGGACAAGGACTTTATTGGTTTTGTTTACCACAGTATTGACAGCACCTATAATAGTGCCCAGCCCAGAGGTTATCTATCTATCCACCTACCCATCCATTAATGTAAAAGAAGAAAGAAACAGAATCAAAATATAGAATGGCTGGGGCTGGGGATGTGGCTCAAGTGGTAGCGCACTCGCCTGGCATGCGTGCGGCCCAGGTTTGATCCTCAGCACCACATACAAACAAAGATGTTGTGTCCGCCGAAAACTAAAAAATAAATATTAAAAAATTCTCTCTCTCTCTCTCTCTCTCTAAAAAAAAAAAAAATATATATATATATATATATATATAGAATGGCTGTCAGTAATGAGGACACAAGAAAAACTGAAAGAACAGAAAAAGAGTGGTAAGTGGATAAAGAAGTAGTTCTTTTAGTATCCCCAGCTTTAACCTTAATTTTCTCCACAGGTCTCAGGCATTTTTCCTTGGGCATTAGACATTTAAAGAGGGCTTTAAACAACATCACAAAAGGATGTGCCTCCTTCTCATCCAGAGGGTTGCCTTCCCACAGTAACTGGTCCTCACTTACCTGAATATTGTCTTTTTCCTTTCTTCATAATTTTCCAGGGATCTTTTCCTTGTTCCAATAAGGAAATCACATCTGGTTTAGAAATGAAGCACCCTGCTTAGAAGAAAGGAAACAAAGTGATATGGAAATAAAACGTAAGTTCAAAATTACTTTGGTTTATCCTGGTTAAATGTGTAATAAACTACAGGTTAAAATGGTAATTGGTGGGGGACTGGGAATATAGCTTAGTTGGTAGTGTGCTTCCCTTGCATGCACAAGAGCCTGATTCACAAGCTGAGGCTGTAGCTCAGTGGCAGAACAGCTGCCTAGCATGTGTGAGGCACTGAGTTCGATCCTTAGCACCATATACAAATAAAATAAAGGCATTCTATCCATCTACAACTACAAAATTTTTTTTTTAAAAATCACATTAATCCAGACGCAGTGTTGCATACCTGTAATACCAGTGGCTCAGGAGGCTGAGACAGGAGGATCATAAGTTCAAAGACAGCCTCAGCAATTTAGCGAGGCATTAAGCAACTCAGTGAGATCCTGTCTCTAATAAATTACACAAATAGGGCTGAGGATCTGGCTCAGTAGTCAAGTGCCCCTGAGTTCATCCCCCGGTATCAAAACAAAAAAATTCACATTAAGGTTACACAATTAATAGAGATTACAGAGGGAGGGAAAAGATCTTTTAAAAATCTGTATTCATATACATCTTCTTCTTCAGAGGAAATCAATGGCTGAGATCATAGATCACACGGTTCAAATCCTGCCTCTTTCACCTCCCAGCTGTGTGACCCTGGGCATGTTACTTCTACATTTCTTTTTCCTTATTATAAATTAGTGTTATTGGGGCTGGAGTTGTGGCTCACCTAGTGCATGGGAGGCCCTGGGTTCAATCCTCAGCACCACATAAAATAAGTGAGTAAATAAAGGTATTGTGTCCAACTACAACAAAAATAAATATTTAAATAAAATAAATTAGTGTTAATACCGCCTCCTTACAGACTTATTGTGAATTTTACATGAATATATACTTATACCTAAATATTAGTCATCAGTTATTGTTATTTTACTGAGAAGAAAACAAGAAGCTTCCTAGGAGACATTAATTGTGATTTATTAGGGTATTCATACAACATTAATTGCAAAGCTCTTAGATTTTTAATTTTCAGTCATAAAAGTAGGTAAAACTGAATGTTTATTTACAAAAGGAATGAGTTATCTTGAATTGTAAATAAATCTTTTTTTTTAAAGACAGAGAGAGAGAGAGAGAGAATTTTTTTAATATTTATTTCTTAGTTTTCAGCGGACACAACATCTTTGTTTGTATGTGGGCTGAGGATCGAACCCGGGCCACAGCATGCCAGGCGAGAGCGCTACTGCTTGAGCCACATCCCCGGCTCCTGTAAATAAATCTTGGTAATCCAATTTACCACTATGTAAATTATGTTTTCTTTTGATAGAGAAAAATCAAGACACAAGGTCTAGTTATTCTTCTTACAGGTATATAAATAAAATATCTAAAGCAATTCTGAGTTCAAAAACAAAGTGAAATATTTTCGTTGACACTGATAAGTCTATAAATCACCTAGATTTGAAGGACAGGGAAGCCAAGCATAGCATATTCCTGTAATCTCAGTCTCTTGGGAGGCTGAGGAAGGAGGATCACAAGTGTCAGCCCAGCCTGGGCAACAGAAAACCCTGTCTCAAAACATAGAAAGAGTTGGGGATCAGGGCTCGGGCTGTGGCTCAGTGGTAGAGTGCTTGCCTAGCAGTATGAGGCCCTGGGTTTGATCCTCAGCACCACACAGAAATAAATAGATAAAATAAAGGTATTGTGCCCATCTACACGTAAAAAAAATTTTTTAATTAAAAAACAAAAATGATAGGGAAGATGAATATACTTAATGAAGATGCTCACTTCCAATGAAATAAAGCTGAAACCTTTCCTTTAAAAACAGGGAGGAGGGCTGGGGATGTGGCTCAAGCGGTAGTGCGCTCGCCTGGCATGCGTGTGGCCCAGGTTCGATCCTCAGCACCACATACAAAACAAAGATGTTGTGTCCGCCGAAAACTAAAAAATAAATATTAAAATTCTCTCTCTCTCTCTAAAAAAAAAAAAAAAAACAGGGAGGAGGGCTGGGGTTTTGGCTCAGTGGTAGAGCACTTGCCTATCATGCCAGGCACTGGGTTCAATTCTCAACATCAATTATAAATAAATGAATAAAATAAAGACCCATCAACAACTAAAAATTAAATTAAAATTTTAAATTAAAAAAACAGAAGAAATTCAGTTATTTTTTTTAAGATGGACACAATATCCTTATTTATTTATTTTTATGTAGTGCTGATGATTGAACACAGTGCTTCACGTGAGCGAGGCAAGAACTCTACCACTGAGCTATAACCCTAGCCCCTAAGTTAGTTTCTTGAAAGATAGTCTTCTCTTTTTTTTTTTGGTACTAGGGTTTAAACCCAGAGATTAAATCTGAGCCTTATGCATGTTAGACAAGTGCTCTGCCTCTGAGATACAGCCCAACTCTTTTTTGTTTTATTTTGAGGCAGATTCTTGCTAATTTGCTGAGGCTGGCCTCAAACTTAAGATTTTTGCCTCAGCCTCTCAAGTCATCAGGCATGCACCATTACATCCAGCTTGAAAGATAATTCTTGAAATTTTCAGAGGAAAAAGCTGATGTTAACAGAAGACACTTAATATAAAGGTAAAGAACCTTACCTAGTGAGATAAAGTTGCTATAGTTTTCCAGCATCACATCTTTGTATAAGTCCCTCTGTTCCAAGTCCAAGTATTCCCACTCTTCCTGAGAGAAGACTATGGATACATCACTGAACATCACTGATCCCTGAAATGACAAACATTGTTTGTCATATAATTGATACGAAAAAAAAATCTTGCAGGAAATGGAATATGATGGCGAGGAAAGAGCCTTGAAAGCTGGAAAGTTGTTAATACACCCAGTTCGGAAATGAGTGTGCCTGAAGCGGAGTACCTACCTGGTCCTGAAGAATCCTGTTGCTACTACAAGGCTGGGGTTATAGCTCATTGGTAGAGCACATAAACAAATAAATAAAGGTATTTTTAAAAAATCCTGTTGCTACAGATAAGCCTCTTACACACTGGTTTACCTCAATAATCTAAACAGGTGTGTGTGTGGGGTTTCCTATTAAATGATACCCGAGCCTCAAGTAAATGTTATACTGTATATAAATAAAGCAACTGCCTGTTATATGTCTGCATCATAAGTTCTCAAAAACATGAGTTCTTCTATCCCCCCTCCTTAAATAACAGATTAAAAACAAAAACAAAAAACCTCTCTATTCTCTGCCTTAGAAAAGGGATCTGTAATCCCAGAGGCTTGGAAGGCTGAGCAGGAGATCATGAGTTCAAAGCCAGATTCAGCAACTTAGCGAGGTCCTAAGCAATTGAACAAGACCCTGTCTCAAAGTGAAATAAAAAAAGGACTGGAAGGCTGGGTGCAGTGGCGCATGCCTGTAATCCCAGTGGCTCAGGAGGCTAAAGCACAAAGATTGAGAGTTCAAAGCCAGCTTCAAAAAAGCAAGGTTCTAAGCAACTTAGTGAGATAGGGCTGGGGATGTGGCTCAGTGGTTGAGAGCCCCTGAGTTCAATCCCTGGTACCAAAATAAATAAATAAAAATAAAAATGGCTGGAAATGTAGCTCAGTGGTTAAGCACCCTGGGATCAATCTCCAGTACAAAAAAGAAAAAGAAAAGGTTCTGAGTCCAGTTAAAGAATTTCTTCTGTTTATATTCAAAATCAGAATATATGACAATTATTAATAATTTTTCCTTGTTACAATTTTTTTTCTTTTTTAACCAGGGATTGAACTCTCGTGGGGCATTTAACCATGGCACCACATCCCCAGCTTTATTTTATTTTATTTTTTATTTTGACAGTGTCCTGCTAAGTTACTTAGGGCCTTGCTAAATTGCTGAGGCTGGCTTTGAACTTGTGATTCTCCTGCCTCCTGCCTTAGTCTCCTGAGCTACTGAGATTACACCATGCCTGGCATGACAGATTGGGTACTGGGGATTTAATGCAGGGGCCCTTTATAGCTGAGTCACATACCCAGCCCCTTTTTATTTTTTATTTATTTTTTAAATATTTATTTTTTTAGTTTGAGGTGGACACAATATCTTTCATTTATTTTTATGTGGTGTTGAGGATCGAACTCAGCACCCCGCGCATGCCAGGTTAGCGCACTACCACTTGAACCACATCCCCAATCCTTATTTTTTATTTTAACACAGGGTGATCTCACTAAGTTGTGGAATCCTTGCTAAGTTGCTGAGGCTAGGCTTGAACTCACGATCCTCCTGTCTCAGCCTCCCTTGCTGCTGGCATTACAGGTGTGTGCCACTGTGCCTGGCCATTAGTGTGCAACTCTTTTTTTAATATTTATTTTTTAGTTGTAAGTGGACACAATATCTTTATTTTTTTAATATGGTACTGAGAATTGAACCCAGTGTCTCGTGCATACTAGGCAAGCACTTTACCACTGAGCCACAACCGCAGCCCCTAGTGTGCCTCCCCACATACTGAGGATGAAGCCAAACAACAGCAAATCTTATATACTTGGAAAACTCAAGAATAGAAAAGATCATAATTTTCCTACAAGTGGTTAAATGGACCTATCTTCTCTCATCAACTCAGAAGGGATGGTAAAATATCTCCTGTGAGCAACTTCATTTCTGTGTCATCACAGCTTTTAGCAGAAGACTTGACACATATAGGAGATACTAAAGGATTTGTTCGATGAATACACAATGATTGGGAAAAGAGGTTTCATAGCATTGTGATATTTAGCTTCATCCCTCACTGAATTTAGAACTAGGAGAAAGTTCCTGGATGTAGCTTTGATAGGCAGGAAGTTTTAGAAAAGAAATGTTCACAGGATCTGAACATTATAATATTTCCAGAAAGAGAAATAAGCAGTAACTTACCCGGGCCATGATTTAGTAATTCAAGAAATGGTTAAGTCCTCCTTGGGGTTTGTTTGCCAGGGGAAGTAGAATCCACAGAGGCCAGAACTAGGGGGAGGAAAACAAGGCCATGAGCTGAGATACACCCTAGAACTCCCCAAATGATGTGAGTTACTATGACTTTTTCCCTCTTCTGATCTCTCCATCACACACAGATATATACTTACAAGGAGAACTGAGAAAGTCTAGATAAATCTAATCCCTCTTAAATTTCATGGCTGATAAGGGGCCATATGATCTAAACCAGAGTCTCCTTCAAAGTCTGACAAATATCTGCTTGGATTCACTAGATATAAAAAGAGAAATTCAGTAATAATAATAACAACAACAACAAAAGCTGACAAAATCTGACAAATAAGAAGATGGAAAAAAATCAGCATTTCCTTACAATATTTCCTTTACCTCTAGATGTTGAGGCTGGACAGTGGCATTTACAAATCCTTTTAGGATCCAGATTTGGAGGAAAGATTGTAACTGAGAAGAAAAAGTTGAAATGATCTAAAAATGAGGTCAGGGTGGATCATAATGAAGGGGAAAAATCTTAACTTTCTTAGTTTTTAACAGGTCTTTGGGAGACTAAGGATGCCCACCAGGCTGAGATGGTTTAATTAGTTGGCAATGCAAAGTTATAGGTCTTGTTGCTTCTTCATTCAAAAGACTTGGGCTCATGTCTTGAAGTACTAAACATCTAATCATCTTTATTATCCCTATTTTTTGACTACACAGGCACATACATACACACACACACACACACACACACACACACGTGTGTGTGTGTATATATATATATATATATATATATATATATTTTTTTTTTTTGGTACTAGGAATTGAACTCAGAGGCTCTCAATCACTGAGTCACACCCCCACCTTGTTTTGTATTCTATTTAGAGACAGGGTCTCACTGAGTTGCTTTAGCACCTTGCTTTTTGCTGAGGATGGCTTTGAAGTCACAATCCTACTGCCTCTGCCTCCTGAGCTTCTAGGATTACAGGCATGCACCACTATACCTGGCATATTATTTTATTAATTGATACACAAAACTTGCAAATTGTATATATCAATGAGGTACCATGTTATGTTTTGATATATGTTTGCTTTACACAATGGTTAAAACATATTAATCATATTTGTCTTTTAAGTATACATCATTTCTTCATGGTGAAAACTTTTAAAATCCTTTTTTTATCTTTTTGAAATCTACAGTACATTATTGTTATCTAGAATCACACCAGAACTTCTGCTCCTATCTAACTGTAACTCAGAGCCCATTAGTCAATATCTTCCTGTCCCTTCCCACTCCCAATCTTCTAGTGACCACCTCTGTATTCTCAATTTTATGAGATCAGCTTTTTAAAATGCCATGTGTGTAAGATCATGCAAGTAATCTTTCTGTGCACGGATTATTTCATTTAATATATGATCTCCAGTTCCATCCATGTTGTTGCAAGTGAGAGGATTTAAATTTTTATGGTTGAATAGTATTTCATTGTGCATATGTATGTATTATTTACCCATTTATTAGATGATGGATATTTAGATTGACTTTATATCTTGGCTATGGTAAATAATGCTGCAATGAACATGGGAGCACGAGTGTTTCTATGACATACTAATTTCATTTCCTTTGGATATACACCCTCTGGTAGGAATACTGGATCATATGGTTGTTCTATTTTTAATTATTTGAGGAACCTCCAAAATGTTTTCCATAATGTCTGCACTCTTTTACATTCCCATCAGCAATGTGCAAGGATTCCCTTTTTTCCATATCCTTACTCACCAACATTTGTTATTTTTAGTATTTTTTTATAGTAGCCATGCTTACTGGGGTGAGGTGATATTTCATGGTGACTTTGCATTTCCCTGATGATTAGTGCATTATCCTTCTTCTGAGTTTTGCAGTCTCTAGGATTACAAACTCAAGAAAAAATTTCCTTTTTAAATTTTTTTTTGTTATCAACAAGCCTTTATCTATTATGTGTGATGCTGAGAATCGAACCCAGTGCCTCACACGTGCTAGGCAAGTGCTCTGCCACTGAGCCACAATTCCAGCTCAAAAAAAAAAAAAAAATTCCTTTTATATGTGTATAAACTATCCTGTATTGAGAATTAGCAATAATACTTAGAACTATAGTCTATATTGTCTCTACTTGGTATCTCTGGAGAATTGGTTTCTGGACCTCCTTGGATACCAAAATCCATGGATGCTCAATCCTTTAAATAAAGTGGTGTCATATTTGCATAGGACCTACGTACCTCCTCCTGTATACTTTAAATTAATCTCAAATTACTTATAATGCCCAATACAAGATAACTGTTATGGAAGTAATTGTTATACTATATTAGTTAAGGAATAATAAAAAGAAATCAGTCCTTACATGTTTCAGGACAGATTCAATGTTTTGAATGTTTTAAATCCCAGGATGGTTGATTCTATGAATGCCTAATCTGTAGATATCAGGGGCTTACAGTTTTCTTCATGAATTTCCTCTACAAATTACCTGCTAGAAGCCATAGAAATGATGTCTCTCTATATATGAGTAGTGGAGGGCCCCCAGTGTGACCTTGCTTAGAATCTTCAAATGTCTCCTAAATTCTGGAAAATTCTGGAAATGTGCTCTGAAGATTTTCTATCCAAAAGCCAGCTTTCATTCACAGGTCTCTGTGAAAGCAAAGTGATGGGCCCGATGATGAGAGCTTTAAATAATGAGAAGGGGATAGTCTGAAGAATGATTTCTCTCAAAGGAAGAAATAAAGAAGGACAAGCTTTTTAGGTAAGAAAGCAAGGCTTAATGTGGAGACATCCTGAAAGGATCTTACATGATGATTTAGCTTGATTTTGTTTATGTTGAAAATGAATATTCACACAGCTTTTATATTAATGATGGTGGGGATATTAAAGAGAAACAGAGAGTGAGAAAGAGTTTTGATTGAGTCATATAAGAATTAAGCCTGATGGCCATTATCACTGCAAAACTGAGGCACTGGCAGCCCAGCCTGTCAGCAGCCAGGACAACAGCTACCAAAATCCTTTGGGCTCATCCTATTTTCAATGAGAATTACCCACACTGTTTTCCTGCCTGACTTCATTTACCATTCTCTTTCTCACAACCTAGAGTGAAGAAGTATGGATTACTAGACAATAAAACATATCCACTTATCAAGAATTTCCGCTTTCCGGTCCCCTTCTTCCTCCAGGGAGAAGTCTTTTCTGCTGTCCTTTAATAAAGCCTTCTACTTTCTACTCTAAAAAAAAAAAAAAGAACTTCCAACAAGGGTGGTGACAGACGCCTGTAATCCCAGTTATTTGGGAGGCTAAGGCAGGAGAATCACAAGTTCAAGTCCAGTTTGGGCAACTTAGTGAGACTCTGCCTCAAAATAAAAAATAGAAAGGACTGGGGATGCAGCTCAGTGGCAAAGTGCCATAGGGTTTCTCCTTGGTTAAAACAAAACTAAACTTCTAAGTAATGGGTGTTTTAACTGAATCTTCAGGACTGCTATTTAGTATGATATTCTTTCTAAAAATTTTTTTTTAGTTTTTGATGGACCTTTATTTGATTCATTATTCATATATGGTGCTGAGAATCAAATCCAGTGCCTCACACATAGGTAGGCAAGTGCTCTACCTTTGAGCCACAACCCCAACCCTTTAGTATGATATTCTATCCATTCAATAAATCAGAAAATTTGAAACCACTGGGAGAAATTCAATTTAGAAGTAGCAAAGCTGCATTTAAAATCCTTATTTTTCTAACCAAAAGCCAGCTTTCATTCAACTCTAGCCTCTGAAACACAGAATTTCAATTCCAGTGTGAGAAGCCTGGCATGCATGATTCTCTTAAATAAAAAAAAAAAAAATCAAATCACCAAAAGAAAGTAAATCTCACTTTAGTACTGATGCCCATATTATCAAGTATGTGAGAAAATGAACATTCTAACCAGTATGCTATAGACTTAACTTACAAGTATGTACAAGCAGTGCTTAAACCATGCAAACCCTCTGACTCAGAAATTCTATTTGGGGGATTAAAGAAAATAATTATACACATGGTCAAAGGTGTATGTAAAAGTATACTGACATTGTTTCTAATGGGAAAAAGTTGGAAAGAACCCAAATGTCCTTCAGTAGGAAATAGATTAAATAAATCATAAAGCACCTATAGAATAAAAAAGAATGGGAATACAGCTTAGCAGTACTGCACTTGTCTAGGACATGTGAGGCCCTGAGTTTGATACCCAGTCCTGCAAAAAAGCAAAAACAAAACAAAACTATTATAATTTTAAAAGATGATGTATATCTTTAACTTAAATATGCTTACTACATTTTACTGAGTGAAGAATCCAGATAATAAAAGAGTTATAAGTACTGTATTTGTGTTTTGGCAGGACAAAAACATTTATGTGTATGTGTATTTACTTTAGTTCCCAATATCTACATCTACACTATGATTTCTAAGCTTGTTTACATACATTGGAGTTTTGCCTATTACAGAATGACTAACCATAACTAATGCCTTGTTTCAATGATGTTGCTTCTCATGATTTCTTGACTAATACATTTATCTTTCTTCTGAGTCATTTTAGTCATGATAGCACTCCAAAGAGCTGCTGAATTGTCTCATCCTGTTAGTCTCACTCTGCATCCATAGCTGAGCATAAAAACTTTAAGGCACAGCTGGGTGAAGCAGTGCACACCTGTAATCCCAGCAATTTGGGAGGCTGAGATGGGAGGATTTTAAGTTTGAAACCAGCCTCAGCAACTCAGTGAGACCCTGTCTAAAATAAAAAATAAAAAGAGCTGGGGTATGGCTCAATAGTTAAAAAAAAAAAAGAAAAAAGAAATTTATCCTTATGAAATGTATGTAAAAGTAAACAAAGATGTATATGAAAGGAAGTTCATCAAAGAATAATTTATGACAACAAAAATCACCTAATGATAGACAACAGGTTGAATAAATTATGTTTTAAGATATAATAGCACATTGTGCAATTATTAATGATGATGGCTCTGGTCCATATTAACTAATGAAGAAAGATATTCCTGACAAATTACTAGGTATGATAGACTAAAAAGAATATGCGTGCGCGCACACACACACACACACACAAAGAATATGCACAATGTCAGGAGGTGGAAAACTCTCATATATCAAAAACAGGCTTTCTTGTTAGCATTCAGGATATGAGTCTAAGCTCTGACAGTTATTTTTTGTATTTTTATTTTATTTTGTACTGGGGTTTAACCCAGGAGTGCTTAAGCACTGAGCCACATCCCCAATCCTTTTTAATATTTTATTTAGAGACAGGGTCCTGTTGAGTGGCTTAGGGCCTCACTAAATTGCTGAGGCTGGCTTTGAACTTGCAATCCTCCTGTCTCAGCCTCCCCAGCCTCTGGAATTGTGGACATGCACCACCTGAATATTCTTTTTAGATATACATCCCAGGCAGGAGGATCACGAGTTCAAAGCCAGCCTCAGCAAAAGCGGGGCACTAAGCAACTCAGTGAGACCCTCTCTCTAAATAAAATACAAAATAGGGCTGGGGATGTGGCTCAGTGATCCTGTGCCCGAGTTCAATCCCTGGTACCAATATATATATATATATATATATATATATATATATACACACACACACACACACACACACACACACACACATGACAATAGGGTGTATTTTCATATATTATACATACATGGAGTACAACTTCTCATCCTTGTGGTTGTACATGATGTGGAGTGATACTGGTCGTGTATTTATATTAGCTCTGAGAATTTGGACATGTAACAACTTCATTGTCTGTGCTTCCTCATGGATAAATTGTGGAATAATAACTATCTACCTTATAGGATGAGATTAAGAACATAATACATGCCAAGGGTGGGAGAGCATGCCTGTCATGCCAGCTACTAAGGAGGCTAAGGAAGGAGGACAGCAAATTCAGGGTCAGCCTAGGCAACTTAGTGAGACCCTGTCTCAAAAATAAAAATTTTTAAAAAGGGCTTGGGCCGGGGATGATGGCTCACACCTGTAATCCTGATGGCTCGGATGCTGAGGCAGGAGGATCACGAGTTCAAAGAGCAACTTAGCGAGGGCCTAAGCAACTCAGTGAGACCCTGTCTCTAAATAAAACACAAAATAGGGCTGGGAATGTGTCTCTTGTGGTTAAGCACACCTGGGTTCAATCCTGGTTCTAAAAAAAAAAAAGTGGGTGGGGTGCTTAGGATACAGCTCAGTGCTAGACTACTTGGCCAGCATCCATGGCATGAGGCCCTGGGTTCAATCCCTAGTACCAAAAAACTAAACATTCTTAGATATTACAATCTTTAAATTTATGGCAATGGATGTGTATCTTTTGGGGTCATGTTAAATTACAGAATTTGTCTCCAGAAGAATGACATATTAACGAATATCTACAAAAAATTTTTACATACAGTTTCATAGGGTGTTTAGTCTGCTGAAAGACCTAAATAGTTTCAAATTACCCTGGTTAAGAATTCTTGTTCAGGGCTGAAGTTGTGGCTCAGTGGAAGAGCACATGTGTGAGGTACTGGGTTCGATTCTCAGCACTGCATATAAATAAATGAATAAAATAAAGGTCCATCAACAACTAAAAAAAAAATTTAAAAATAATTCTTATTCTAGGGCTGGGGTTGTAGCACAGATGTAGAGCACTTGCCTAGCATGCGTGAGACACTGGATTCGATTCTCAGCACAATAAAGATATTGTGTCCACCTAAAACTAAAAAATAAATTTTTTTTAAAAAATATATATATACATATTTAAAAAAGAATTTTTGTTCGAGCTAATGTTTATTATCTACTTATTCTAAGAGTTCATAATTATAAAAATAAAGCCCACAAGGCTGATGTAAGCTCAGTGGTAGAGCGCTTGCCTAAAATGTGTGAAGCACTGGGTTCAATCCTCAGCAACACATAAAAAACAAACAAAAGATATTATGTCCATCTACAACTAAAAAATTCTTAAAAAAATAAAGTTGACAGAAGTACTGAAAGCATTCCAAATGGATACCCGCATAGAGGCACTAGGGAGCCAGCCTAGGTAGCAGTTCAATGAAGATAACTTTTAAAAAGAAGAGACCACAGTACCTCAAAAATAAATAAAAAGAGAGAGAGAAGGGAGCAAATGTTCCTATGTCCTAAAAAATAAAAATGCATTTCACAGAACAAGGGGAAACTATTCGCCTTGACCTTGACTTTTAAATGGTAAACGGCAATTCTTTCCTTTTCCTTCGAGGCATGTACAAGTTCAGCAGAACTGGGAAAGAAAGAAATCTTAAAATCCAGGCCTTTCTTGGAGCCCAGCCTGTTTAAATGAGGTCACAGAGCCACGACCCCATATGCCTCTACCCAGTCACGCCTACACCTATTCACCTATTCACACCAATTCAGAACCCTTCCCTGTATCCATGAAAGGCAGGGGTCACGGATACCCAGGGCTGGACTGCAGTTCATAATAGCTTCCTGGAGGGCACTCTGCATTCAATCCCTAGTACCTGAAACCTGCAGGTGGACCCCCATCCCCAGAACTGAGTGTGAGGGCGTGGGAGTCTGTCCGCGCATCGGGACGTGGTATGGTGGGAGTCCTCCCAGGAGCCAGGCTTGGAGGGACTCGTTGACTTCTAACATTCTTATCCCAAGATCAGGTCAGAGCCCTTTCGCTGGGAGTCTTCTCCCTGGCGCTCAGATGATGTCTGGAGGGGCCATTTCACTACTCTGGATTGGGTGTGGCTATATGGCAGATGTCACTGGGGTCACAGTCATACTCTCCACGGCCACAGCAACTTCGCTCACACAAGAGGCTTTGCATCCAATTCGGTCAAACGCCATCACGTACCGGTCCCGAGCTCACAACCGCTCCGAGTCCGGTTCCAAACCCAGGTCCTGTCACGCCCACCGACACAGCTACACCGCCCTTCTCACCAGCGGCCCGAGGCAGCGCGCTACAGTGCCTCCCTTCCCTCTCCTTACCCCCCGCGCCGCAGCGCCTTTGTTACGTAATGGCTAGGACCGACACTCCGGGACAGGACTGCTCACTTGTGGCGCCGAACACGTCTCAAGGTGATGCCCAGCCCAAGCGAAGACGCTCGGCCAGGAACTGTCTACAGCCCAAGGGGCCTAACGGGCCGCACGCAGGGGTTGTTGGGAGGGCCAGCCGCGCGCTGAGTACGCAGGCGCGCCTGGACAAAGGGGGCGGGTCCAGGCGCGCCTTGTAAGCCTGGGAGCTAGTTCCGCCCTTGTTAGTGTAGGCTGCCCAGTCCTTTGTCTCAAACCGTATGCTGGCGGGGCGTGGAGAGGGGCGGGGACCGACTGCCTGCGAGTTAATGAAGGAGTGAAGTTTCAAAACGTGACACTCGGTGGGGCCAGCTGAAGAACTGTCCAAGGAAGCGCTGTGTCTGCCCTTGGAGTGGTTCTGATGTGATTCGTCCTGTGTGGTTTGTGTTTGAGACAGTGTTTCTGGGGTAACCAGAATTACATATGTGAGGGAGGTTTTATGAATTGTGTGTCGGGCTCTGTAGGACTGAATGATGTGGTGGTCTGTGGGATAATAGGATTTAATGAGTGCATGAGATTGTGTTTCTGTGGAATTGTCTGTAACTCACTGTGAACATTTATGATAGGTTTGTCTTTGTCAGGTCTTCCCTGCTGTGCACATCGCTGGTGTGTTCCTATGTGAAAAAAAAAATTTTTTTTTGAAGTGGTACAGAGGACTGAACCCAGGGGCACTCTACCAACTGAGCTATGACCCCAGCCCATTTTTTAAATTTAATTTTGAGACAGGGTCTTACTAAGTTGCAGAGGCTAGCGTGGAACTTGGGATCCTCTTGCCTCAGCCTCCCAAGTCGCTGGGATTGCAGTTTGTGCCCTTGTGCCTGGCCTATCTGGATATTTTGATGTGACCAAGATACATGTTCTCCTCAACTCTGATATGGAGAGAGGAGTGCTGCATCTGCAAGGAGCATCGATTATACTGAAGGATTCGATTTGAAAATGTTTTTAATTATTTATTTATTTTACAAATAATCACGGGTATAATATGCAAATGAGCATAACTTTTAAAATAAGATTTTTTAGCCAGGTGTGGTGGTACACACCTGTAATCCCAGCGACTCGGGAAGCTAAGGCAAGAGGATCACAAGTTCAAGGCAGGTCTAAGCAATTAACGAGACCCTGTCTCATAATTAAAAAGTAAAAAGGGCTGGGAAGGTGGTTCAGTGGTTAAGCACTGGATTCAATCCCCAATAAAAAAAAGGGGGGGAGATACCACCACCCCCAAAAAAAGACACAAAACGTGAGTTCATACTGGCACAAGTAATTCAAATTTAACATCACAAATTTTTTTTCTAGGCTTTTATATTCAGCCTTCTTTAACAGAAATCCTGGTTCCTAGTCACACTAACATTTATTTCTTGGCTTTAACCAACTATTGGCATAAAATAGTTTAAAAATGCAACACCAATATTATTACTGACAATATTAAGTAAAATTTTAGATTGTAGTTCTTTTATTTTTTTTAAAGAGAGAGTGGGAGAGAGAATTGTTTTAATATTTATTTTTTAGCTCTCGGCAGACACAACATCTTTGTTTGTATGTGGTGCTGAGGATCGAACCCAGGCCGCACGCATGCCAGGCGAGCATGCTACCGCTTGAGCCACATCCCCAGCCCGATTGTAGTTCTTTTAGATCAGAAGTTGATAAACTGCAATCTGCAGTCCAAAAGTGACCCCTCATTTGTCATTAAGTAACAGCTGAGAAAGGTTTGTATATATTTAAATATTTAAAAGAAAAATAAAAGGGCAAATGATATTTCATGAGGTTTGAAAAGCATGCATTTCAAGTTTCATTGTCCATAAATAAAGTTTTATTTAAACATAGCCAATATGTATGTGTACTAATAGTCCATGACTGTATTTGAGCTACAAGAACAGAATTGAGGGGTTACACAGACCAAATTGTAAGCCTAAAATATAGTTTATTTTCATTATTCACAGTAGTTATGGCCTGTAAATTTCCTGCAAACACTGAATTGGTAAATACTAAACCATTGCTCTGAGAGGAAATACAGGTTATATATATATTTTTTTTTGAGAGAGAGAGAGACTCTGAGAAGAGAGAGAGAATTTTTTAATATTTATTTTTTAGTTTTCGGCGGACACAACATCTTTGTTTGTATGTGGTGCTGAGGATTGAACCCGGGCCGCACGCATGCCAGGTGAGCGCGCTACTGCTTGAGCCACATCCCCAGTCCACAGGTTATACTCTAACAAGGATATGGCCACAACATTTTCACTAATAAATACATAAGCTTGTTTTGTGTTTCTATTATTTATTTTTTTTTAGTTTTGGGGATTGAATCCAGGGACACTTAGCACTGAGCTACACACCTTGTCCTTTTTATTTTTGTATTTTATTTAGAGATAGGGTCTCACAAAGTTGCTTAGCACCTCGCTTTTGCTGAGACTGGCTTTGAACTCGAGATCTTCCTGCCTTAACATCCAGAGTCACTGGGATTACAGGTGTGAGCCACTGCACCTGGCAAAAGGGGAAAAAAATTCTTAATGAAAAAATAAAAGAATAGTCTCCACTGAGGTGGTCAGAACTGGTGAAGAAGATGGATTGTAACTGCCTATGCTCAACTGCCATTTCCATTTCTTCTTGGGGTATTTTCTGAGGAAAAAAAAAAAAGGGAGAGCATGAGTGAGGGCTGGGAATTATTAAACCCTTCATTGCTCACTGAGCTGCCAGCTGGAGTGACCTAAAACTGAAGCTTATTGAAATAGCTTTCAACTTCCCTTCTCACCATATAAGGTACAGCAGAATGGAAAGTACTATGGATTGGAGTTTTGTCCAGGCAGACCACAATGTTGCTCTTCCAAGGGTGAAGCTGCTACAGAATTTCTAAGTAGAGAGTTCCAGAAGCTGGGGCTTAGCTCTAGTCAGGCCTTATGGACTTTGTTGTGTGGTACCTGTTCTGGAGAGATTAGATCAACATACCTCTGGGCAGGGCAGATGCTGAATCTGCATCTCAGGAGACTACTAATTCTACTTGAGGAGCAGCGGAGCCAAACTTCCACAGGTCTCCCACACTCTGCTTCCCATGAATATGGCCTTCCCAGACTTAGTCCCCAAGAATAATCACACACCTCTTCAGCTTCCTGACCCCTTCAGCTGATCACTTGATTGGCCAGTCTCAAAAGGGAATTGAGTTGCACTCTACTCTGTATCTCTGACTTGAACCTCCCTGGGTACAATATTCTCTGTTTCTGTTTGCCTCACATTTTGCTAGGTACAACCTAGGCCATACAATAGATGCTTGCCAAAACAGTATGGCAATATTTGCAGCAGCAGTTTAAAGTGTAGCCTCCTCACAACGGCTACCAGATTCAGCTCTCTGCTTGCCAGTTGAGAAATACAAAGCAATTTTCAAACTCCAGCTCAGTCTACTGTGCAGGCTCTGGATCAGCTAGGTTCAGGATGCTTTTCTGTTCTACAAGTTTTTGTTCATTGTGATTCTCTGTGTCATCCCACCCCTCTGCAGTGAACCAATGCTGCTGTCACAGCCACAACCAGCTTGGCCCCAATGTATTTTTCTTGTCCTTTGTTCAATGCACCCAATAATTTCAGTGAATTCTCTCTTTCACATACCTTGCTAAGAATCAGGACTCCCACTGCTTGAATCCCTGGCATGGAGCGACTGGAAATGCAGCCTTCCTCTAGTCTACCATCTTGAATCTCTCCATACAGCTAATTTAACACAAAGACATTGTAGTCTCTTTGTGCTTTGGAGCACAAAAGAGCACTTCAGCACTTTAAGCAGCAAAATCACTAAAAAAAAAAACAACACAAAAATATGAAAAAAGTGGTATTAAATAGACTGCAAAAAGGATACCTATTTATCTTATGAGATCTGAAACAAGAAAGATCAGGATTGTCCAATTTCAACTGAAAACATGACTACTAAGGGACACATTTCTCACAACTCTTCAAATGTCCATAAATGACCTCAAAAGTGCAGCAAATATTGACTTTGGGGAGGGACTTTACAAATACAAAATCCATAAATGAAGATTAATTATATTTATTATTATGTGGTCCTTTATAGAAAATTTTGCCAGCCCCTATATTTTTATAGTATATCACCCACAGATATATAGCTAGTGTTTAAAAACTATTTGATAACAAAATTTTCCCTATGTTATCAATAATATCTGTAAGGAACTGTAACCATCTAAATAAAAGAAAAGGGTAAATGGCAGCTCTCTTTATAGAAGAAAATGAGATAAAAATGTTTTATTTTACATGATTCATGTCAAATACATTTACAATATTCAAATACATTACAATATTTAGTTTTGTCTTTTTCTTTTTTCTTTTTTTTACAATATTTAGTTTTGATGGAGATTTTATATTATATATATATATATATATATATTAATTAATTATTATTTTTTTAAGTTCAAAGTCATTTCTACCTCACCTGCCTTACGTAAAACAGCAACATCATTAGAATTAATACATGGCACAAGGCTAGTCATCAGCAGGGTAATATTGACATGGCTCTCTAGCCACCAAGCCATGCAACCAGCACCCTGGTCCCTGAAGAGAAGTAATAGGCGAACAGCAGCCCAGGTGAGCTGAAGCACAGGCAGCAAGTACCTGCTGCCGAGTGGAGTCTGCCATGGATGCATGTGCCTGAGGGCCAGAGGGCCAGGCAGAGGTGAGCCAGGGCAAGCCAACCAGTCACCCTACACAGTCTAGCTTGCACATGGTTTAGATGCCCACTGCAGAAGTTCATTCCACACAGGCACTGCAGCTCCAGACATCTCAATTCAATGACTTCAATCTACTACTTCCCAAAGCAGGGGTGAAGAATGGAAGTAAGGCAAACCTGAATGAGATTCAGGGCTAACCACTAGCTTTAGTCTTTTCACAAACCCTAATTATCATAAGTTTCAACCAATAGCAGTGATCCAAGACAAACCCCTAGACTAGCACACTTGGATGGAGAAAATCTGCTCTTGGGTCCCTTCTTGCACTGTGAGAGTTCTATTTTTTAATAAATCCTACTCTTATACTCACTCTGTGGATTTCATTCTTTGAATAT